TTAATCCTTTTTAGATGTTTTGTAAATACTTTCCTATTCTCTCACTTGTCCTTTAACTTTTTTATATGTTTATTACTGTATAGTCTTACCTGTTTAAGGTAGTCATATTGTCAATAATTTACTTTATAGCTTCTGCATTTGAATATTTTCCTTCAGGGTAAGAAAAATATTATTTGGTATTTTCTCCTGAAACTCCTTAGGTTTTCAATATTGATTTTTAACTCATTTGAGTATTGTTTGTATAATGTGTGAAATAGGGCTCTATATTTGTTTTATTTCAAGGAATATTGGTCCATGCACCTTATTTGTTGAATGAGCCTTATTTTCCCCATTGATTTGAAATATCAATTTAATCATATATTACACTATTAGACAGATATATACATTTGTTTTCAGAATGCTCATTTTATTTCATTGATCTACGTGATTATTTCTGTGCTGGTGTCTTGTTTTAGTTGCTGAGACTTGATAATGGATTTAAATTTTTTAATATTTTATCATGAATCTTGACATTTAAATAAGTAAATAAATAAGTAATATCAATCTGCATTAAAAAAAAAAGAAAGAAGGAAGGAACTCCTACTTTTTGTGACAACATGGATGGAACTGGAGAATATTATGCTAAGTGAAATAAGCCAGTCAGTGAAAGACAATACCAAATGATCTCACCTATAAGTGGAATCTAGTCAACAAAATAAACTAATGAACAAAATAAACCACAGGCAGGGAAACAAGGAACAGGTTGAAAGTGTCCAAAGGGGATGGGGAAGAAAGACAAGGGTGGAAAGAATGGGAAGGGACTAGACAAAGAACATGTATGAATGACCCATGGACATGGACAACAGAGTGGGAATTGACTATGGGTGAGGGGGTCCGGGTGGGATGAGTAGAGGAGGGCAACGATGGAAAAATTAAGACAACTGTAATAGAATAAATATGGTTTAAAAATAAAAAATTTTTTAAAAAGAATAAATTTTAACCCTGGCTGGTGTGGCTTAGTGGATTGAGTGCCAGACTGTGAACCAAAGTGTCACCAGTTTGATTCCCAGTCAAAGCACATGCCTTGGTTATAGGGTCAGGTCTCCAGGGACATGCAAGAGGCAACCACACTTTGATGTTTCTCTTCCTCTCTTTCTCCCTCCCTTCCCCTCTCTAAAAATAAATAATAAAATCTTTTTAAAAAATGAATAAATTTTAGAATAGTACAGTTTATAAAGACCATTTATAAAGAATAAGACATTTATAAATAAATGAATAATTTATACCACCCTAAATATCAGATTCACAAATGAAGAAAACAAAATAATTTTTAAAGACTTCTTATAAAACCAAGGCTTCTGTTTCAAAATAAAAACAACTGAGCACACCAGGAAATAATTCAGCAGTTCTTTCATCGTGAATCTGAGGGTGCAGTCACCAGTGGTTCTTACCGGCATAAGCGACAGTCTTGTTACATGCTGATGGTGCACTGTGAGCACCAGAAGGCACTGCTTTTCACTCTCAGTTCCAGACCCCTGCTGTGGGCACTCAGGTCAGTCCTAAGTGTGGTCACTTCTTATCCTGTTTTGAGTCTGCGATGTAAGGAGGAACCCTTCTCTAGGGGACCTCCCGAATTAATGGCTTACCCACATGGAGCCCACACTGTTGCTTCCCATCAGACAGGGTCAAGGCTAAACCTCAAGCCATGCCAGTCTTCAAACAGCTCTTTTCCTTTGCCTGTGGCCATCCTTATGAACTGACACTCCTCAACTGTTCATGTCTATCTCTCCTTCCTAAACTTCTTGCTCTGTGGACCCGTGGATGTGAATGTGTGGTGTGTACATGGTGTGTGGTGTGTGTGCAGGGTGGTGGGGGAGGGGATGAACCTGAACATTGCCTTTGAAACCTGCCAAAGACCACACAGAAAAAACAAACTGCGCACCAGAAATCTGTATAATTTTGTTAACCAGTGTCACCTCCATAAATTCAGTAAAAAGGAAAAAACAAGAAATAAAGAAACCTGCCAAAAACCAGCAGCAACCCCCATGGGCACTTGCAGTCCTAGCCAGCTTGGATTCTCAGGCAATAGAGTTTGAAGGTGGGCAGCAACATGATCAATACTTTGCATTTCTATCAGCCTTTCAGTTCCAAATTTAAAATAGTTCCAAAATGTAATTGTCATTAAAATATTCATTGTTCTTTGTCACTGGTTTTCCTTTTATGTCTATTAAGAACCATATTTTCTTGTTCTTTCCCTTCCATATCACCGAATGAAAAAGCCGGGTGTCAGGTGCGGTGAGGGGATACAAAGGTGTTACAAAGTGGCCCTCAAACATCAGTACAAACCTAGAGGTTGTGTAGTCCAACCTTCCTCATATGCATAACCTAACACTGTCATCAGCCACAGATTCAAGTAATAGCATGAAAGACAACAAACATCCTCTGAGCTTTGAATTCTGCTCAGGAACTGCATCCATTTTAAAATTGTATATCCCTCATTAATTTAAATTACAACCTTCTGTTCAAATAGCCTGATGTTTCTAAAAGATCAAAACCCACCAGACTTCCATATTTTACAGTTTCCATTTTCATGTAATTAAATTGAGTTGAAATGTTTTTGAATAACAAGTCTGTTTAATACCCTAATATTGTCTGTAGGCAGGAATTTCTAAGAGTAGTGAAATCTATGCTTACAAAGCACATGCATTTTCCAGGAAAGTGAAAACAATTTGGTTGTTTTCCTTAATTTAAAAATAAATTTAAATCAAAGAGAATAATAATAATAAGCTCTTTCCCAAACCCTAAGCATTTAGATTTTACAACTGATGTACAGTGATATTTAAAAAAGGTCCCTTACCAATAAAATGATTTACATATCAGCAAAAGGACCAAATTAAGACTTTTTTTCAGTTTTGTGATTATTCAAGAAAATATGTTCATGATTTAAACTCAACATGGGCAATGCGTAAATGTACACCAGCAGAAAGCCGCATGATCATGTAAATCAAACATGTGCATGAGAAATTGTTCTTTAGCATCTAGTCTTTGCTGTGTAATTTCAAACTTCTCCAGGGCAACCTGAGCTTATGACCACTGTTCCACTCCCTGTTCACCTCTGAGGATGGACCAGGCACCGGAACAGGGCACTATCTAGCCATGCTATGCACCCCAAGTCACTGCAACCCTTTAGCTGAGTCATGACAAAATGACCCTAAGCCGCAGAAGGCTCTAAGCAGACCCAGCTCTTCAACAATTTGAGTAGCTGCTGCTGGCACGTCACAACCTGACTCCAACAGAATGGACCAGCAGGGCAGATTTGTTTTAGTGGTTCATCATTACTCAGCCACAGCTGACCTTTAGAACTGGATGTCTGCTTCTGTTCTTCATAAAGCAAGGGCAAAGCACAAAGTGAATGATGTTTTTTAAAAAAAAGAAAACTTTAAAGGGAAAAGTTTAAGAATTTTCCCTTCAGTTGAAAACTACCCTCTTCATTCAATGTGCCAGGTATTGAAAGCTTTACCAAGGTCGATTTGTCTACTTTAAATGTAGTCTCTGGGTTTTTTGTTTTGTTTTGTTTTTGTTGTGTTTGTTTGTTTGTTTGTTTGTTTTGAGATAGCAATTATACTAACACACTAGAAGTGCTGTATTCTGGTGTCAATACTTAATCAAAGTTGTCAAAGGTTTTTGTTTAGTTGTGGTTTTTTTCTTTTTGTTTTTGGCTCCTGGTTATATATTTTAAAGAAGAAATACAAGAACATTCATTCTCTTTTATAACAAGTTCAACCAGATGTGCCTATTTTTAATCAAGTTTCAAGCTAAAATGAAGATAAATTAAAAAGCAGACTTTGAGCCCCATTCTTAAGACTGATGATCACATTCTTTTGTTTGTACTTTTTAGATAGTTAAAGACAATCCACAAAAACTGTTTCTTTTAATATCTTGGTTCCAAAATTACCAAGATACAACATTTTACCTGGGGACATGATCTGCTTGAATGTTTAAACTGGATCTAAAACCAGTATGTACGGACCAGGTGTCCTGAAGTTTTCTCAATTGACAATAGATTTGTCTCATTTCTTTTTAAATAAAAAGTCATGCCTTGGGGTGACCAGACTGAAATAATACATGTCTACCCCACAGGCCTGGTCTGGAGATCTGCCCTGTTGTAGGTCAGGGCTGTGATAGCCTCCTGATTTCTGAAGGCAGGATAGAAGAGTGGGACAGGGCACTTAGTGGTGCTCGGTACTTGAGTAACAAATTCCTGAAAATATTGCAAATTATTTGCATAAGGAAGGGATTTTATAGATCACATCAGGCAGGATTTTATCATTCTTTAAGCTAGAGGAAAAATCTCCTTTCCAGACTGTGACTCCAGATGCCACCAGCTCAGCCCCCTTCATTTGTTTAACTGGAAGACCAGGAGTGGAGGGCCTGTCCCAAATTCTCCTCCTGCTGCAGTAAACCAAAATCTTTAGATGTGGAATGAAAGGCAGACACCAAAGAAAACCTTGCTTGCTAAGAAAGGACAGCCTATCTTACATAAAGCAAGGCAACATTTGGCCTGCACTGACCAGGAGCTGGAAATTCTTGCTACGGGAAAACGAAACCACCCAACCTGCTGTTTGGGGCAAACACAGAAGTGGTGGCACCACCTGCATTTTGCATCCCAGGGGCTGCCCAGTTCTTCCGGAGGGTGTTCACTGTTTGCTAGGAAGGCCCGACATACATTAGCCAGGTGTAGGGGTCCATGTCAGAGAGGCACTGGCCAAACACATGGCAAAGCGAGGCGGCGAAGACATGCCAAAGAAGTGGGGCCAAAGGAAACCAGGACAGAGGGAGGTCACCGTTTTTAAACCTTCTCCCAACGGATTCGCGAAGGTCATGTTCGTGGTGCCCTGTTCGCGCTGCCAGGCGAGGTGGCTGCAAAGGGGTGCGTATCTCCTGGCCTGCAAGGCGACCCACCCGTAGTGGACAAGCCTGCACCCAAGCTTCCCCACCCGGCGGCCTGCGCCCGCACCCACCTTGACGACGTAGGTGACTCCGGCCCCCAGCACCTGGTCGCTGGCGGGGCCTGCGCGGGGTGGCTGCTCGTCACCGGGCCGGCTCTTCCTGGCTGCGCGCATGGCAGGGGCGCGGGGGCCGGGGAGCGCGCTGCCGTCCCGGGTGGTCAGGCTAGGAGCGCTGCAGCTGCCCGAGAGCCGCGCGCCTGCCCGCTCCCTGGCCGCAGACAGGCCGCGAAGACCCGAGCTGGAGAGTTTCAGGTGGGACACCTTGTGAAGCAGGTGACCCAGGCTGCCCGAGCCATCGTCGGGCGCCCTGCGCAGCGCGTCTCCGGACACCAGGTAGGGGGCCGCCGCCGGGGCTGCGCGCGCCGCCGAGACCTTGCCGCCGCCGCTCACCGACAGGTTGTGCAGAAGGTCATCGACCGATGTCACCGAGTCATTCCTGAAGCGGTTGTACTTGGTGCGTGGAAGCATGCCCCTCCGTGGGCTCGCTGCATCCGCCCGAGCGCTGCAGGTGCGGGCGCGGGCGCGGGATGCCGCGCATAGCAGGCGAGCCGCGGTCCCCGGGGCAGACTCAGCGGCCCGGACGGCGACCGGGTTGAGCGAGCGGGCGGGGGCGCCGGCCTCCCACCGCTAACAACGCGAACCGCCGCGGCGGCGCAGCCCGAGCCCCGGACGCTGCTGCTGAGGGCGGCACGCTCGCTTTGCAAAAGTCATAGTTTCCTCTGATGAGCGCCCAGCTGCTGCTTGGGGCTGCTCACAGCAAAAGCATGACTCACTCCGAGAGGAGACCCTTCTCAACAAAGGCTCGGTGAGCGCTGCAAATCACTTCCTGTAGCAAAAAAAAAAGGGGGGGGGGGACAAAACCACAGACACCATACACCCACTAACAGCACACTAGAGCCAATCAATTCTCAAATTTCCTTTTTCTACCTTCCCAGATATTTCCTTCCAACCTTTGATTTTTCACCTCCTGCGCCAGAAGTAAATCCAATTTTTTCAGATGATCAGAGGAACTTTCTGAAACCCATTATTCTATGCTAGGGTTTTCTCTTCCCCCGTCAGCCCATCTGTGTGAGCCTGTAAGTATCTGACAACGACGAGTTAAAATGTGACGAAGGCTTTTTAAGAAAAAGATCTCCAGCGGATCCTCATGAATTCTGATTTGGAAAGCAAGCAGGGATTGTTAAACAGCAAAAAAAGAAAGAAAGAAAGAAAGAAAAAAAGTGGGGGGGGGAGAAAAAGAAGAAGGAGAAGGAAAATATTCATTCCCAGGTGAACATAAAATACCAATTTCCTGGGTTTTGCTTTTTTTCTTTTCGAATCAACAAAGCAGCCATGACAAGTATCTTTGTAGCAATGCAGTTCCTCAAACAAAAAACAAAAAGCAAAAATCTGCACAGAGCCAGTTAAGGTCTGTGATTACAGCAGTCTTTCTTAGCCAGGGGTAAGTTGAAAACCTACTTCCAAAAAAAAGAAGAGTGCTTCTTTGATGAATGGCAACAAGATCCAGAAATCCATTCCAAAAAAAGGAGATGTGCTTGAAGCTTTATTCCAACTGAATGTGTTCAGGCTCAGGAAAAATGCCCAAGAAACGCTACAAATACATGTCAATATCCTTTCAGTTACTGCTTGTAGACCTACAGTAAAAGGGATGGAGGAATGCAGCTGCTCTAACTACACATTGAATCTCAGGAAAAATGCTTTCTTTTCAGGAGTCAGACAGGGGCTGCAAGAGAACCGCACAGGTCTCCTTCTTCTCAGAACAGGACATTGACGGCCCCCAGAAGGTCTTCAAGGCCCAGACCCACGACCTTTGTCACCATGGGCTCTACCGTCTTCGTCTGGCACTGAGATAGCCTGCCCATCACAGTGACTCGCTCTCTGTTCAAGTTTCCAGCTACCTCTGTGCAAGCAAATGAATTTACCTCTAACTCGTTATTAGGTCACCCTGAGTCTTCTGACACCCACGACTAGACATGTGACACATGAGGCACGGAGCCTTGAAGAGCTGTACGGAGCAGCTGTAACCAGTGCCACTCAAAGAGAGCCAGCTGCTCGACTTAGGAGTGCAGGGGAGACGCAGCTACCAGCCCAGGCGCAGGCCTAGGATGGAAGCCGGCTCTCATCTTTTCCCTTCCCCTTGCTTGCATAGCAACAGCAAATGCACACCCCTTAGACGATTGGGGTGGTTATCAAAGCCCCCCCAAATCTAAAGCGAAAATGCCCTATCATTCCCAAACTGTGATCTTCAGACAAAAACAGCAAAATGTGAATGAAATGCTGTTTGTGTGAATGAAAGGGCTAGCGAAGGAGCCAGCGTTTCTGTGAATGAAGCAGGGCCTTGCAGCCGGCGCCAGGCAATCCCCTGGTTCCAGCGGCCGCAGCCAATGAGCAGCCGCCGCGATGACTCATTCAACAAAGGCTTGCTCAATAGTGGAAGATTCCATTTCAATCAAAGGCGGGATCTTTCATCCAACGGCAGACGGCTGTGTGTGTGTGTGTGTGTGTGTGTGTGTGTGTGTGTGTGTGTGTGTGTGTGTGTGTGTGTGTGTGTGTGTGTGTGTGTGTGTGTGTGTGTGTGTGTGTGTGTGTAGGGGGGTAGGAAGAAAAACAAAAAGAAGAAAGCCAGCCTGATCACAAAGATGCAGGGAAGAAGGGACTGCTGTTCTGAGACAGGAAAAACTAGGTTTTCAAGGAAAATAAAAAAGCACTGGTCAGGTACGGGTGTGAACAAGACTGCCCTCCTGGAGGTGAGTTGTGCCCCCAAAATTTCATTCAACCATTCATTTCCATCAGGGAGCAACCATGAATGTACCATTCGGTTCAGCATTCATTATGAATGTACAGTGAAGTCACATTCAAAACCTAGGCACCTCGCCCTGGATTCTTTTTGTGAAAGGAATATAGAACATGCCTGCACGTCTGAGTCTCTAAGAAGAAAAAAAATCTAAAGCAACACTATTAACCCTTTAGCCAACAGAAGATTTATTTCTTTTTTTGTGATGAGATAAATGGAAACAATAAGCCATTTTAAATTATGAATAGCAATATAAATTTACATGTAAGAAGATACATAATCAAACAAGATGATTAATAATAGTACAGTGAAACTTTACTTATGAAGAAGATGGTATCAATGATTTGGAACACTGAAGAAAAGCAGAAAAAAACCCTAAAGGCAGCTCAGCACCAAAATAGTAGCTGCCAGCCCAGCCCAGGGGTCCATGCCCCTCCCTCCCAGGACAGCCCTGCTTATTTTAAACACTGTCCCCAAAGCCCCAGTATCTGGTTTATCAGCCTGTGACAATGCAGAGATGGATAATAGGTGACATTTTCATAGTCTGGCAACACAAACAAAACAGAAAAAAGGAAACCATTATAAAGTCAGCATTGAGATGAAGAAAGCCAGGAAGCCTAGGTCATTTACAATAGCCTTTCCAGATTATTACAGTTTTTCTTTTTAAATCTATTAATTTAACAGTGTATTGGTTTTCTATCACTATCTTAACCACAAAATCGGTGTTTAAAATGACACAAATGTATTACCTCCCTGTGCTGTAAGTCAGAGGCCCAACATGGGTCGCAGGGAATAAAGGTCAGGAGTAGGTAGGGCTACACACCTTCTGGAGGCCTTGGGGAGAATCCCCTACCTGGCCTTTCCCCATTTGTAGAGCCACTCAAGCATGCCTGAGGGTGGGCCATAAGCTGAGTCCTGGGGAAGGTGCTTTTCCTCCTAGAAGGTTTCATTCAAGCAAGATATGTAGAAAATCTAAAATTACCATTATAATTCTATGTGAATGTTTTAATACATATGAGGTACAAAAACTATCCAGAGGAGAGTGTGCTGAGTTTAACCTGAAGATGTCAGGGATGACTTCGCAGAGTTTTGAAGAATTGCTAGTATCTTCTAGGCCAAGGAGGGGAAACCTCAGGAGGAGATGCTGTGTGGGGAACAACTCAAGGCTGAGACACCTCAGTTTCCCAGAATCCCACATAGATTGTTGGTTTAGAGGAAATGTTGGGAGGCCAAGCCACCAAAAGACCCTAGCCAGGAAAAGTCCAAGTATAATGCCTAACTCCCTTGAGATGCACAGAGAGGCCTAGGGGCTTGAGAATGGGATGCAGCCATGTTTGCATTTTATGCTGGAGGTCTTGATGGTGATATGGGAGAGCTCTGGGGAGTTGAGGGGGTAGCAAATAACAGCACAAGTGAAAAATGATGAGGTCTTGAAAGAAAGTAAGAACAGAGGAATGGAAAGGAGGGGGTGGGTTCAAGATACAGTGAGAAGGTAAAATGATATGATGACAAGGATGGGTGAGGGAAAGTGGGAAGTATGGTTTGTCTGGAGGCAGAGCTGAGATAGAGTTTAGGGTGCAAGATATTTTTTAAGAACCAACCTCAATGGAAGGCTAGAGGAGGCCTCAGGATGGGGCATAGAAAGAAGTGGGGCTGTATGAAGCCACATATGCTCCAGCCTGGGGAGGAGTCCCCTGTAATCCCTATAACTTATAGGCCCCACTTGCTCCATCATTCCTCACTCCTCACCTGCTCAGCTGCCCCAGGATAAGGGTCTCCAGCCAAGTGGCCTCTGCCTGAGCTCCTGAAGGAGTAGACAGTAGAGACCACCAGCACACCACATCCCGGCAGTGGGGCAGGTGGCCTGCTGTGGGTTCTGAGCAAGGCCCTCTTCATATTCTGGGAAATGAACAGCAAAGGCCATGTTTCTGACTTGGGCAGTGAGGCTGAATGAGTTTCATCCCTTGGGTTGAAAAGCACAGGCAGCCAGAGGGAAGGTGAAGGATGGGTTTTGAATACCTGTGAATCCTGAGCACTTTCATGGAGATGTCCATGCGGAGGAGGAGTCAGGGCTAGAGGTTGAAACTTGAAGGTCATTGGCATGTAGGTGAAGGCGAGCTCTTCAGTGACTAATGCAAACTTAAGAAGGAAGATCAACAAGAAGGAATTCAAGGGAACACCAAACTTTCCAGGTGGAAGCTGAGAAAAACTAGTCAAGATTGGGAGAATATGTATGGAAACCTTGTTTGATGGGTGATGTGTTTCTATTCTGTTTGTGCTGCCATAACAGAAACACCACAGACTGAAGTAGCTTTAAAAATAAACATTTATTTCTCACTGTTATGGAGGCTGGAAGGACATGATCAACATTCCAGGAGATTGGTATCTTGTGTGAACCCTCTTCCTGGTTCACAGACATTGTCTTCAACCTGTGTTCTCACATTGCAGAAGGGGCAAGGAAGTTCTCTGGGGTCTCTTTTACAAGGCACTGATTCTACTCTCATGACCTACTCAATTCCTAAAGACCCATCTCCAAATGAGGTTGAGTTTTAGCCTATGCATTTTGGAGGGCCACAAATATTGGTTTCAAGAGAAAATTGGTGATGGTTAACAAAGGCAGCAGTGGCAATTGTAACTACTTTCCTTGAGCTTCCCCATGTGCTAAGCAATATCA